GGAGGACATTCCTTCTTGATCAAAGTCACTCCTGTGCCAGGTAAGTATGCTTGACCATCGACAATATTCTGTAGTATAATATTAAAAATACTGTGGCCTACAGGTGTCATTTCAACACTTCTTTTCTTCTGGCTTTTTAAATTTTCATTACAATCATCTTATTATAATTAATAAATCAATTTTTGTATTTAAATCTTTTAAAGTTAGTTTTTATAAGCGTATATCTTTTCAAGTATAAATATAACACCAATGATTCTGTATTACAAATGTTTTCTGATTATATTGAATATGCAAATTAGTTTACTAATTCCTGATCAATGTGTTTCAACAAAGGGGCCATTGTTTGCCATCAGGTACTAGCCTACAATACGCCTAAAAGCTCTATTGATATATGTAAAATTATAATAAATTTTTAAAATCTCCCCATGGCAAAGAAACTCTCACATAAAGTTTATCATAGAATATATTTGTAGAAAATATAATATTAAAAACATTATATATATGCCATTTCGGCGTGATAGCGAAATATACAAATCAGGCATATATCCTATAGCGGTCTATTTTCTAGTTCATAATGGCGTTAGTTTGTACCCTTATTTCCAAAAACTACAGCACATTGAAGAAAACACCAATACTCTTTCTAAAATGTTTACATATTAATTCTATCTTTAAATGTTTGTTAGGGGTTAGCGCGAACGCAGTCCCCCGCTACCATAAATTATACACCCGAGTTCCCCACATTTGGGGGAATCGCAAGGGTCAACCTCAGCCAAGTGCAATGCCGAGGCCTCACCTTGGGAGGACATTCCTTCTTGATCAAAGTCACTCCTGTGCCAGGTAAGTATGCTTTGCCATTGACAATATTCTATAGTATAATATTAAAAATACTGTGGCCTACAGGTGTCATTTCAACACTTCTTTTCTTCTGGCTTTTAATACTTTCATTACGATCATCTTATAATAAATATTACAATTTTTGTATTTAAATCTTTTAAAGTTAGTTTTTATAAGTGTATATCTTTTCAAGTATAAATATAACACCAATGATTCTGTATTATAAATGTTTTCTGATTATAATAAATATACAAATTAGTCTACTAACTTTTAATCAACGTGTTTTAACAATGAGGTCATTGTTTGCCATCAGGTAGTAGCCTACAATACGTCTAAAAGCTATATTGATATACGTAAAACTATAATAAACTTGAAAATCTCCCCACCCCGAAAAAACTCTTACATTTAGCAGCATTTAGTATTACATCTTTAACGATTATAAGTTGATTATAAAATATATTTTATACAAATACGAAAAAAAGAACATTCGATATAAAATATAGGCCAATTCTCATTATTAGCCAAATATACAAATCAAACATATCCCATATTTTCAAGTTTATAACGGTGTAAGTTTTTCTGTACCCACA